TTGGAGAAGTGTCTTTTTAGCTCTTCTGTCCATTTTTTGATGGGGTTGTTTATTTTTGTTGAATTTCATCAGTTCTTTGTATATCTTTGTGATCAATCCTTTATCACTAGTTTTGTGTGAGAAAATTTTTTCCCAGTCAGTGATAGTGTTTGTTTTTTGTAATGTCTCTTTTGCTGTACAGAAGTTCTTTAACTTGATGTAGTCCCATCTGTTTATCCTTTCCTCCACTATTGTTGCATTGGATGTATATCTTCAAAGATGTTACTCAGGTGGATGTCCTGCAGTGTTTCACCCATTTTTGCTTCGAGGTATTTTATGAGTTCTGGTATTATGTCTAGGTCTTTAATCCACTTTGAGTTGGTTTTTGTGCATGGTGAGAGGTAGTGATCTAGTTTCATTTTTTTGCACGTAGCTTCCCAGCTTTCCCAGCACCATTTGTTGAACAAACTTTCTTTGTTCCTTTGCATCTTCTTTGCTTCTTTGTCAAAGAATAGCTGCCCCTAAACCTGTGGTTTTACATCTGGGTTTTCTATTAGAATCCACTGGTCTATGTGTCTGGTCTTGTTCCAGTACCAGGCAGTTTTGATTATTATGACTTTGCAGTATAGCTTGAAGTTTGGGATCGTGATGCCTCCATTCTCTTTATCTTTAGTCATGAGAGTTTTGCTATTTGAGGTCTTTTGTGGTTCCATGTGAATCTCATCAATATTTTTTCTATTTCATTGAAGAATGTCATTGAAACTTCTTTTTTTAAAGATTTAATTTATTTGCATACAAAGCTGGGTACAGGCCAGAGGGGCAGGGGCAGTGAGAGGCTTCACCAGGGACAGAGTAGGGAGCAAAACAGGCAGATCGACAAAGTACACTGTTGAGGAGAGTAGCGGGTAGATCAGGAGAGGTCTGCCACGCCATGTGGTCACCTCCTGGGCAGGCAGGGATTGAACTCATGCGGAAGTGGCTTTCGCTTCTCAGTGCTGTGCTTTAACCCAGTGCACCACGGGAGGGCCGTCATTGAAATTTTTATTGGGATAGTGTTAAATCCGTATATCACTTTTGAATAGATGGCCATTTTGATGATGTTAATTCTTCCCACCCATGAGCATTTCTTGGTGTCTTCTTGAATTTCTTTTAACAGTGCTTTGTAGTTTTCTTTGTATAGGTCGTTTACCTCTTTTGTTAGGTTGATTCCCAAGTATCTGATTCTTTTTGTTCAAATTGAAAAGGGGATGGTTTTTTTTATTTCTGCTTCTTCTGATTGGTTGTTTGTGATTAAGAAGGCCTCTGACTTTTGTGTTGATTTTATATCCTGCTACCTTGCTAAACTAGTTGATGGTTTTGATTACTTTCTCTGTAGAATTTTTAGGGTTTTCCATGTAAATTAACATATTGTCTGCAAATAAAGACAGTTTTACTTCTTTTTTCTCTATTTGGATTCCTTGTATGTCTTTTTCCTGTCTTATTGCTCTGGCTAGAACTTCCAATGTTTTGTTGAAAAGCAGTGGCGATAGTGGACACCCTTGTCTTGTTCCTGATCTCAAAGGAAAGGCTTTGAGCTTTTCTCCATGAGGATAATATTGGCTGTGGGTTTATCATAAATGGCTTTTTATCATGTTGAGGTATGTTCCTTCTATTCCGAGGATTTTGAGGGCCTTAAACATAAGTGGGTGTTGACCTTTGTTGAATGCCTTCTTGTGCATCTATTCCTATGATTATGCGGCTTTTATTCTTCTTTCGGTTGATGTGATGGATTACATTACTTGATTTTCTGATGTTGAACCATCTTGTGCTCCTGGGATAAAGCCCACTTGGTCATGGTGTATTATTCTTTTAATGCATTGTTGGATTCTGTTAGCTAGATTTTGTTGAGGATTTTTGCATTGGTGTTCATTAGGGAGCTTGGTCTGAAGTTTTCTTGTTTTCTTTGTTATGTTTTGTTATTAGTGTGATGTTGGCTTCGTAGAAAGTATGTGGTAGTTTTCCTTCTTTTTCAGTTTTTTGGATGAGTCTGTGTAGAACAGGCACTAATTCTTTTCTGAACATTTGGTAAAATTCATTTGTAAATCCATCTGGTCCTGGACTTTTATTTTTGGGGAAGGTTTTGATTACTTCTTCAATTTCCTTGCTTATAATTGGTCTGTTTATTTGTTCTATTTCTTCTTTATCTAGCTTTGGGTGGTTGTAGAGTTGTAGGAATTTGCTCATTTCTGCTAAATTATCAAACTTGTTTGCATATAGCTGTTTGTAGTATTCTCTGATTATTTTTTTGATTTCTGCTGGATCTGTTGTGATTTCTCCTCTTTTGTTTATGGTCCTGTTTATTTGTGCTTTCTCTTGTTTTTTCTTTGTGAGCCTGCCTAGTGGTCTGTCTATCTTGTTTATTTTTTCAAAGAACCAACTTTTGGTTTCATTGATTTTTGGATTTTTTTCCTAACTTCCATTTCATTTATTTCTGATTTGACTTTTATTATTTACTGTTTTTACTGGCTTTTGGGTTATTTTGTTTAAACTAGCCTCTTTTTAATGGAATATCATCTTTATTTGAACGAATAAATGACAGAGAAACTATGATTGATTTTGAGTTGCCTATTTGGTAGATACTGTCTCAAAAGTAAATTTAAGTCTTCAAGAAAATAAACTGGTAGTATTTGTTGCCAATGACAAAATATAAACTCTCAAGAGAAAGCAGCATTTTGGAAAACTTGTATCCAGAACTGTAATGCTAATAGCTTCCCAATACTTACAACCCTTTCCAATGGGATATGTGATAATATAACAAATGTGGTTTTTGACTATTTGTAGTAAATGTGTCAACACTGGAAGATCTACAAACTAGGTGAACTGAATTCATTACTTTAAAAACATCATGCATTAGTACAAGATTCATTCAAAATGTATAATACACTTATGGGTCTTAATGTAACAGTTTAAAATAACCATAGTGCTTTAAGTTCCCCATTGTAACTAAGCCTAAGAAGGTGCTAATTGTACAGTTTGTTTATTATCAAAGATGAACATTCACAATTATCTGAAAGATTACTTACACCTTGTGTACAAATGTGATGCTGGATTGCATAGGTGGAATTTTTTCAAGTTCTTTAAAATAACAAATTAAATGCAGAAGCAGATAAGAAAATTCTAATGAGACAGACAAGAAAACGACTTGCAAAAAATTGAAAAAGATGCACTCTTGTCATTATTCTTTTTATTTTGGAAAATAATTTTCATTAAAATATTTCATATTTTTGAAATAAACCAGAAAGGAAAAGAAAAATACAGGATGGTTTCATTCATAGCAGGAGCATAACAGACCAGGGGAGAAAATAATAATAATAATAATAATGAACAACTATATACCAGAGACATTTTACAGGGGTGGAATAAGAATGGGATCAAACATGGGGGGGATGTACACTGGACTATGGTGATGGTGATTTGGTGGTGGGAATACCATGGAGATTACAACTGAGATGGAAAAAAGCACAAAATGATGTAAAAATAAATTATTATATTATTTTTTAAAAATATATTTCATGCCTGTTAACATGTAAAGCTGTTAATATCATTCTAAATGAATAAATATTTTTACTTATTCATTTTTTAAATGATTCATTTTATTTATTTATGCATACAAGAGCTGGGATGTGTGGGGGGTGGAGGGGGGTTGTAAAAGGATTCACCAGAGACAGGGAGGGGAGCAGGGACAAGGATCTACTGAAACACACTGCTAAGGGAGCAGCAGGTGAGACAGGAGAGGTCTGCTGGGCCAAATGGGTCAGCTCCCTGGTCAAGGATCAAACTCCTGCTACACTGATTGCTGATGGTTTCATAGTGCTGAACTTAGTTAACCCCTTGTGCCACCAGGGAGACACTGAATAAGTAATTTTTTAATATAATAGTTTAGTTTTAAATCATTTTGTGCCTTTTTCCATCTCAGTTGTAATCCCCCGTGGGCTTCCCAGCACCATCTCACCGATGTGCCATCACCATAGTCCAGTGTACTTCCCTCCCTCCCCCATTTTTGATCCTATCCCCCACTGAACCCCCGTAAAATGTCATTATTATCCACTCTCCCAGCCCCCCCACCTGCCCACCCCTTTATGCTCCTGCTCTTAGTAAAATCATCGGTATTTTTCTTTTCTTTCTGGCTTTGAACAAGTAATTTTTAACTTCCAGTTTCTAGTATCACAAATACTGATAAGTATAACCCACGAAATTATCTTGAGGTCCTAATTCATCTGTAAGGGTGTATAGAGCTTGTAAACACAGAAACTTTGAGAATCGCAGATCTAAGCAGCCCCTGGGACTCAGAGAATGTGAGAAAGGCTACTCGGTGCGGAAGGAGCGTCCGGAGCTAAGAGCCAGCTGCAGACGCTCAGGACAAACTCCAGCTCCTGGGGCGCGGTTCTGAAGTTTCAGGCCTCAGTGCAGAGTCTTGGGTGGGGAAGCCAAGCCAAGGAAATGTTATCTCCACTTTGCCCTATCACGCGCTGCGCCAAGTCCTTGTCCTGACACTCCCGCTTCTCAATGCCTTCACAGGACTGCCCAGGCGAGTCAATCGCGTCACGGAGGATCCGGGTGCAAAGTCTGCACTGGGTTTTAGAGTCTTCATAGGCCAGGAGGATCCGGACTATGCGGCCCCCTACCTTCCTCCTGCTGCTGTCAGGGACCCTGGTCCTGACCGAGACCTGGGCAGGTGAGTGCGGAGTCTAGAGGGGAGTGGAGCGGCCAGCCCGGGAGAGCTCAGGGATTGCCCCGCGGGGAGGAGGGGCCACACTGCGAAGACAGACTGCACCGACCCCACGCCCTCCCCTCACCCGCACCAAACCCCACACCGCGGCCCCGCATCCTGCTCCTCCCTTCCATCCACTCTGTTACCAAGCCCTTACCCATTCGCCCCTTTTTGGTCTCAAGTCCCCCCCCCCCCTTGCCCTCCACCGGCCCCTTCATCCTCCGACCCGACACTGGGTCCGAGGTGAGCCGGGTTCTCAGCCCCTGCCCTCCCACAGGTTTACACTCCATAAAGTATTTGCACACCCTGGTGTCCCGGCCCGGCCTCTCGGAGCCCCACTTCGTGGTCGTTGGCTACCTGGATGACACGCAGTTCCTGCGGTTCGACAGCGACGACCCGAGTCCGAAGATGCAGGCAACCGTGCCGTGGATGGAGCCAGAGGTGTCGGAGTATTGGGAGCACGAAAATCGGATTGTCACGAGCCATAGACACATTTCCAGAGTAAGACTCAACAACCTGCGGACATTCTACAACCAGAGCGAAGCAGGTGTGTAATCCCAGCCGCGCGCAGGTCACAGCGTCCTTCCCCACGTACCGGCAGGGGCTACCCTCGAGTCTCTGGGTCCGAGGACTCTAGGTCCAAGTCTCCCCTAAGACTTAGCACTTTTACCCTGATTCGGTTTAGTTTATTATAAATCACCAACAGCTGTGCTTGCCTGGGAGTGGGGTGGGGTGGTGCTAAGTGGGGTCTGCAACGTTGTAGGCGGGGCCAGGGTCTCACACCTTGCAGGTAAGGAATGGCTGTGAAGCGAAGCTGGATGGTAGTCTAAGTCGGTTCCATGAATTCGCCTACGACGGCGTTGATTACCTCACCCTGAAGAAGGAGCTGCGTGCCAGGACCCAAGTGGGTATGGAGGATCAGCGCTTGGAGCATGAATGGGAGAAAGCCATTGCAGTTGAGGCCCAAAATCCCCACCTGGAATGGGAGTGTGGGGATTGGCTCCAAAGAAAACTGAAGAAAGGGAATGAGACACTGAATGCAAGTAAGTTGCCCTGGGCCTCCCCCAGGGCCAAGGATGGAGTCCTGTAGAGTAAAATGGGCTGGAGGCCAGATACCACCTTCCTAAAGGCCCAAAGGGTGAGGAGTCTGCCTGGGTGTTCAGATCATAGAAAGTGACCCCTAATTGCCAGCCCTTCTCTCAGGGTCAATTAAGGATTGCAGTCTCGCCAGGCAAAGGAGACAATCCTGAATAACTGGTCAGTGATTCTCTCATCCTGCAGTGGTCTGGTGGACCATGTGTTTCTTGCTCACATCTGGTTTTTAGAGGCCTTGGAGTCTGAGTCACTTGAGCCTCTGTCTCTATTCTCCCCCCTCAGAGATCTGCAGCCTGCTACCCTGAGTTGTTGTACCCTGATTCTAAAACTTTCCAAGGATTAGGAGATGATACAAGCCTCCAAGGCCAGGCTAGTGTTCCAGTTTTGCCCTCTTTCCACCCAATGCAATTATCCTGTCCATTCTCAGGATGGTCACATGAGGCTGCTTCAGTGGCCTGGGAAAGTATCCCAAAGTATAAATGTTCTGATCTTCCCTTCAGAACTCACAAGCATGCAGGTGACCCACCACCCCATCTCTGACCATGAGGTCACCCTGAAGTGCTGGGCCCTGGGCTTCTACCCTGCGGACATCACCCTGACCTGGCAGCGAGATGGGGAGGACCTGACCCAGGACACGGAGCTGGTGGACACCAGGCCTGGGGGGGACGGAACCTTCCAGAAGTGGGCAGCTGTGGTGGTACCTTCTGGAGAGGAGCAGAGATACACGTGCCATGTGCAGCATGAGGGACTGCAGGAGCCACAAGTTCTGAGATGGGGTGAGGAGGGGGACGTGGGCACAGAGACATTCAGCAGGGTAGGGGCTGAGGCCTGAAGGTCAGAGTCTCCTCTCCCCTTCCTTTTCAGAGCCCCCTCCTGAGTCCTCCAACTCCAGTGCGGGCATCATTGCTGGCCTGGTTGTCCCTGGAGTTGTGCTCACTGGAGCTGTGATTTGGAGGAAGTACTTCCACAGAGAAAATATCATATGAAGTCTGAGCTTTCTTGCCTAACATCTGCTTCATACTGCGAGGCATCATCCACACATAAGTACTTTCTCCGTTGAGAGCTGTGTTCACTGATGCTTTAAAGCACATGAAACTCCTTTATATGACAAATGAAGGACAAGTATTTCAACTTGATGACTTTGGTCATGGGGACTTCACTTGAGTAGTTGAGGGTGGAAAGAAAATGTCCCTGCTAAGGACAGAGGCTGGTGCAGCTCCCACACGTGCTCTCGCCTCAAATTCCCTGATCCTGGTAGGGCTGGGTAGTGTTAATTTCTGTGTTAACTTGTGTTGCACTGAGCTGCACTTCTCCTCTATTAAAATTAAGAGTGTGATACTAAACAGAGGGGCCAGGAAAGGATTCAGTCG